CAGCGTTCATCAGCCTGTTTAGGTTCCCATCATGCTCCTCTTGTGTTTTACCACATACTGTTATGTCATCTAAATAAGCAAAGATGTCATTAAGATTTTCTGATTATGCCATCAATAACTCTCTGGAATGCAGCAACTCCATTTATCACCCCAAATGGAATTCTGGTAAATTGGCACAGCTGACCACATGCTTCAAAATCTGTAAAAGGCTTATCTTCAGCCTTGATCGGGATTTTTTGGTAAGCGCTTTTTAAATCAATGGCACTAAACACTTCATAGTTAGCAACTTTATCGACAATTTCTTCAAGATTTGGGATTGGATAAGCATCGAGACTTGTAAATCTATTTATTGTGTTAGAGTAGTCTATTACCATACGCTTCTTGTGGTTTTCGGAGCTGGTAACAAAAGCTTGAGCTCTCCATGGAGATATACTTGGTTCTATTACCCAACCCCTTCATGCAATAGTGAGCGAATTTCTTCTGAAATAAACTGATAATCTGTTACTGTGTGACGGCGAGATTTCACAAAAATAGGGTGAGAATCATGTGAAATATGCTCAAATAGTGAAGCTTGTGGTACATTTGCAGCAGCTACAGATACTATAGCAAGAGGAGATTCGGGTCCGCCTAATGTGAGTTCTAATTTAGAATGACGACTGAGTAAATCATGACCTATTATCAAATCACAACAGAGGTTGAGTAAAATGCACAAAATCACATTATTGTATGAGTTACCAAGAATCTTCAAATTAACTTTGCATTCACCTTTAGTTTTAGAAGTTATCTCAGAAGCCGCCATTGATACTTGACTGATTTTAGAAGGATAGGTTTTTATTTTTAGTTGATTTACTAAGTCACTACTCAGGAAACTAGTGGTACTACCAGTGTCAATTAGGGCTTGAGCTGCTTTACCATTTACATTAACTGGGACAATAGCTTTTGAAACACCTAGGGGATAACTTGAAGAACAACTTATGTGGCTTATGACTGATGAAGATGTATTTTTAATTTTTGAGTTTTGACCAAAACTTGATTTATCTATTTGAAAGGAAGAAGTAAAAAACCTTAACAAAGTGACCCTTTTTACCACAACCTTTACAGTGAGAATTTCTTGCGGGGCAGTCATTTCTTGGATGTCTATTAAATCCACAGAAGAAACATCTATTATTACTCCCAGAAGTAGCAGCTATGGTTGGATCATTTGTATCATCGTCTTGAACGATTGAGTTTTCTTGTTTTAAAACTGAATTGAGATTTGAACTGGGTTGATATAGGAGGGCTTGTTGTTGTGCACTTTCCAAACAACGGGCCTGTTCATAAGCATCTTGAAGAGAAAGCTTAAAGTTCTCTAGCAGTCTCTGGCAAATGTGTGGAGCAATCAGACCATTTACAAATGCATCTCTAATGCAGTCATCTCTATTTTCTTCTGCAGAAGTAGCTTTAAAATTGCTGTCTTTGCTGAGTATCTTTAAAGCTTCTGGATATTGGTCAACTGATTCTCCTGGTTGTTGCTGACGAGTAGATAACTTATGGCGAGCAAATACTTTGTTCACTGGCTTACAATATAGATTTTGAAGATTACCAATTGCATCTTTAAAATTCAAACATTCACTTATATAAGTATATACTGAAGGCACCACGTAGTTGATTAGAAGTTTCAATTTCACCGCTTATGCTATGTTTTTGTTAAATCTAATTTTTTACCACGTTGTATTATTTATCCAAAACGATCTTTCACTGCTTCTAATTTTTATTGTTATCGTTTTTCCTTGTCGCTTTTGTTATTTTTGTTATTGTTATTCAAGATTGTTTATTTATATAGTATCTATTTACTTATTACTTGTTATTCATTCTATTATGTTCTTGCTGTTACCTTTTTACTCAGGGGCGGACTGACCCGCCGGCCCACCGGCCGGTGGGCAGATACGCCTTCTCAACATTCCAATATTTGCGCCCTCGTTAAAGGAAAAATTCATAAAAAATTTTTAAAAATGAGTCGAGATGTGTTTTTAGAAATCAAGAGGAAAAACTTAGAGTAAAAGTTTCAGCAGTGAATAGCAAAACATAAAGTCGGGTGTGAGACCTGAATAGACACTGTCGACAAGCGAGAGCAAAGCAGCTCTTCTCTCTCGTACGTGTAGGCCTACTCCGAGTTGAAGGCACTTTAACTCTGTGGTCTGAGGTACTTAAAAACAGCTGTCCTCTTCCCGCGTCATTTTACGCCGAACCCGAAAAAACCGCACTGCGACTGCATCCGACATCGGTCGGTGTCACGATGTCGTCTGTGGTAAACAACTAGTGAAGATAATTTAATATTATCCATATTTGTTATAATATTTAATTATTGCTCACACTATAACTATTTCAGTTTAAGTCACATTTAATTTTTATCAATGTCAACTCAACTCTCTTGTAAAATGGCGTTTGCCGTGCATGTAATAAATAAATAAAGAGTGTGAGCTGCCAATTAAAATGTGTCTCTCTTTAGTGAGTGTCTGATTTGTGTCTCTGTGTCGAAAGCTTCAATTTATTTTTATATTATTTACCTACACAGGAAACATGAACGAAAGCAGTATTGTAGAATCACTACTTTTACAAAATTTAAATTAGATTAAGTGACAGTGTATTTGTTAACTTAACCATTACACAGTAAAGGTAAAACAGTAAACATTATTTTAATACCGTATGTGGCTACCGCCACATTAATTGAATTAATTCTTTCATTAATTCTTCTTGAATTAATTATTTCAATATGCACTATGGCACTAATTTGGTCAACTTTCCTATTTTACTTACAGATAGCCAGCTCAAAATACCTTCGTAGTTCTCTCTAGGCTATTTCGTTTGTAGAAATAGGTTAGGTAGGCCTACTTTAGGGTTACAGTTTTGACTTAATGTAATGCTAAAAAAGTTTAAGTCAATAAATTGGTTTTGTTCACAGTGAAAGCATATTGTTTGTGTTAAAATAATTTCATAGAAATCTAAAATATATAACTTCTGTTATTTACAGTGCCAAAAAATACAACAGTTGCAAGTTCAGGTTGTAAACAGGAAGCAAATGATTTATATTGTATGCATGCAGCCAAGTCATGCAAGGGAAAATAAAGAAAATACACAAATATAATACGAAAGAACCTAAGAAAATCATTTGTATTTTTATTTTTGTTAGGATATTTACTGTCAGAATAGCACCAAGTCATGTGGGTAAATAGTCTAAATTTTGTAAACCAAACATTGACCAATAGTGTCAGTTATCAGATTTCTGATTTTCCACTGTTAATGCCTCTAGATTGCCTAAAAATGCGAGTTTACAGGTATAATTTTTAAAAAATTTCCCGGGGGAGGGCCCCCGGACCCCCCTCTTTACAGGGGGGTATTCCATACCCCCCAGACCCCCCGGTTGGCGCCTTCGGGCTGGTCAAGGTTTACGCCCTAATAGAGTACCCAGTCCGCCCCTGTTTTTACTGTAATACTTTTACTGTACCACTTTTACTGTTGCATGCATTTTGCCATCTTATAACATTGTATCCATTTTTGTAAACTGGTGTAGACCGTTGGGAAATAAATAAATTTCTCAGATTCATTTGCTTCTGTCACTTCAATAAAATTTGTAAATGTCCTGAGCCAGTGATTCCATTCCATTGCTGCTGTTGAAGAGTTTGGATCTATTGAAAGTTTTGCTGGAGCAAAATGTTTTTCCATGATTGAAGATATTGTGTTAAATAAATTGTTGAAGAATAAAGATTGTTTGCCTTGAATGAGTCGGCTTTATTTAACACAATTCAAGTAATGGAATTCGTAAGTAAGAGTTAAATCTAAAGATTGAAATAATGATTACAAACATTCAACATAAACAAATAAAATAACAATGTCCAACAATATTTTCGATCACAGATATCTAGCCTAGTCTTAAAAAACCATCTTAAGGCATACATAACTCTTACACTCATCCTCTGTAGGCCTAAAGCTACCTATATTTTATTTGGGTTAATATAAGTAATGCTTTGAGACTGCTTAACATTCTATGTATTGACATATAAGTTATTACTTAAGTATTAATGATTGATGAAATTATCCATTTATAAATCAACCTAACCTAAGTAGGTTAGTTTCCTAATATTGTTTAACCTAGTACTTAATAAAAAAAATAAGGCCTAGGCCTATGGATATATGTAGTTTGAAAACGGAGCAAAACTAAGAACTTATAATCTAGATTAGGCCTTTATTAGTGTTAATTAAACTAAAAATGGATCAACAACCAGGTCAATGCTAGGCTATCCTGAAAGGATCCACCTCAATCGCAAAACAGCCAAAACAAACTTTATAATAGTTCTTAAGTTGTTTAATTTATTTTATTTTTCTGAAATAGATAGCCCAATCATCCAGTACAATCCACACTGTTTATTGCAAAACGTAATAACTTAAGTACGTAGGTCGGCTATTACATCAGACCTCAGACTCCTGACAGACAAACCTCTGAATCAGACGACAACCGACGAAAAGAGTAATTCAGTGATAATTAACAGTATTTAAAAGATGAGGATGATTTTTAAATAAATTGGTTTTGGATTAGAAACTTATTACCCTGGAAAGTTTAGAATTATTATACACAATGTAAAAATCGTATGCATAAAGCCATTACTCTATGAATGAATAGGAGCAAGCAAAGTCGTTCTCTTACTCTTTGTCTAAAGTACACTACAAAATTGTAAGTCTTAAAAAGTAAACAAATCAAAACAATGGCGAAATGGCGACCCATAAGGCCCATGTTAAATTTTCCAAGTTAAGTTCATACGCATATTATGGGGATAATAGATTTTTCCTGGATAAAACACAGGTCTAGAACTTTTTTTTACACAGAACTTAGTTATACCGTAAGTATAAACATGTTTATATGTGCCAATTCCGAGATCGAAGAAACAAGTATTCAAACTTTACTCATATTATAATAGGATAAATTGTTTTTCTTATTTCAATTTGACAGTGTATTGTGTTGGCAGGTCTCAGCGCTGCAGCTGGTATCGGAGTGGATGACCTGAGGAGGCTGTGTATCCTGAGGTTGAGTTTTGTAAAGGGTTGGGGTCCTGACTACCCCCGACAGTCCATCAAGGAGACTCCATGCTGGATAGAGGTACACTTGCACAGAGCACTGCAACTGCTTGACGAGGTACTGCACACTATGCCCATTGATGGACCTCGGGCTATGGAGTGACCAACTTACCATAACCAACAACACTGAACTGAAGTTATGAGCCTACACAGAATTAAATGTGACCAAGTATCTTATATTTTGACATCACATAGATAGATACTACCATAGACAAAAAGAGTTAAATATAGACCGTCAGCTGTGTTGCGGTTACCATTGGTTCTGGCGCACACCGCTGGGATCGCCGTGGTAGTTACAGCGTACGCGCTACGTAAACTACAGCGGTGTGCGCCGGAACTTATGGTAACCATGGTAACCGCAGCACGGCTGACGGTCTATATTTAACTCTTTTTGTCTATGATACTACTTCTCTAAAGTAGGGTTATGTTTAAGTTTTCAAAGATAAATGGCATTTCATAACAAATCTTTGAGTGAAAATATTTTTTGGAGGTTTCCCCCGCCTGTATATATATAATACAGTACTAATTTTTAAAAATGAAGCCGCTTAACTATCAACCACATACTTGAACATTTGCTAGATACATATTAGTTTTTTGATAAACCTTCTCCTAATGGCACAAACCTGTATCAAAGGGTTGTAATTAATCACATTTAATATACTGAATATGTGTCAGCTTAACATTTGTTTTTAGCAATTTTCCTTATATCAAATAAGCTATTATTGTTAATCTCATGGTAGGATCTGGACCTGGGACCGATTTACTTTTTCGTTTTAATGTCCCCAGAGGCAAAAAAACACGGTCCGTTCAAATTCATATATATGTATCCGTTCGCACGATAACTCGAGCAAAAATCATCCGATTTTAATGAAATATGGTACAAACGTGTAGACCCACATTAATTTATTCTAATGAGTTCGCAAACCAACATGATCAGACCATGGGAAAAGGATTTTGTGGGGGTTTTATGTGGTAAAAATTGAGGTTTCTAAATTTGACTAAAACATAAAGTATCCTAAAATTTTTGAACTTGAAGAACTTGAAAATCAAATAATTTAGTTTATAGAAGTGTTTTGTACGGTTATTGGTTAGAGAGAAAATTTCAAAAATTGTAAATTTAAAATTCCCATGTTACTCTTATAGGCTAGAACTGTTATAGTTTGCTTGTTTATGGATACATTTTGATCAAACTTGGCAAATTTATTTATTAGCTAATAATATTTCACTAAAAACACACTTTATTACCCTCCCTTTAACAGCAAACCTAGGTACCTGTTTCTAATGTTATTTAAATAGATTTTATATGTTTGACATTGATAAATGTGATAAATAATAGCTGCAGCACTGTCACAGTACCTGTATGTGTTTTCACTTTTCAGTCACCAGGCACTCCAGTTACAAAACACCTTATAGGCTGTATAAAATGTAACCATTGTGCAGAAGTTTCTAAGTCTAAGCATTTGAATACCGGTACCTACGTTGCCGTGGTGCCTAGAACTGTATTGCTGTTTTATGAATAGCCTACACTGATTTCTTATAAATAATAATAAATCTTTTATGAAGAGTTGTAGGATATCAAAACCCTGAATAAAAATATTGAACAACCCATTTGTTGGGAATCGGATTGACCTTAGTTAAATCTTGGACTAAGCCCCTGATGAAAAAAAAACTTTAACTGTATATTTACGGTTTTGAGCATACTGGTACATAACATTTGTATTTAAGCTGAAAGAAAAGTCCATATTCAGATCTCAATCTTTTACTCTATAATATATTATGGTTATGTTTTAAGTAGTTATTTGGTGAAAATATAGTTTTACGTGATTAATTTCTTACAATTAGCCTTCTCAGTACAATAGCATCTTAGCAGTATGTCAGTCAGATCCGTCCAATAACTTAATGCTCTGAGTCAGGGAGTCTATATACTGCATAATATACGAAGCTCTCCCGACAGTAACACCACCCATCACTGCGCCGCCGTGCCAAACGCTTCTGTTGTCGTCTGTCTGGAAACGGGACAGCGGAATTTGAAATGGGATCGGAACATCAGAACGATTTCTTCTAATCACCGAGCATTCTTTAACAAATACTGATAGGAAGGAAGTAGGCTAGCCGTTTAATGTTAAATAGGTAGGTCTAAATAATATGTAATTAATTATGAATTATTTCTAGTTAAAAATTACTAATACGTAGCCTATATAAACATGAATTAAATTGATATCGTAGCTTAACTATATTACTTGTTATTTCCATTCTTTAAATAACAAAAAATAGGAAGAAAAGTGTATTAAAATGCAATATTAAATTTAGAGGTAGGCCTGTATAGAGCTATGAGTATTTTATAAATAGTAACCTACCTTATGTTAATGAATTCTTCAAATCTATTTCTTCTAATCCAAAATATAGGTATACTATTAATACATTATCTATTTACAATATTTACATCCGCCTTCATCTTGGAAACTGGAACAACAAAATTAACATTACAATTTGGCTATTTCAAATGAGGGAATATCTTAATGTGAATCTTGTATAGGCCTATTATGTTTCTTTTTGTTTGTTTGTCACAAAGTTGCTTAGCATGGGGAATGTTTGTAGGTTCAGTATACTAATAATATTTAAGTTTATAGACATCTATTTACAATCCCTTTCATCTTGGAAACTTAAACAACAAAATTAATAACAATCTTACTAATATTATAAACTAGCTGGCCTGACAGACGTCGTCCTGTCCTAATGTGGTATTATGTCAAACGAGTGCACCTGTTGCTCGAATTCGAGCAATTGCAAAATGTTGCAGGTGTTATTTCAAAACGAATAGCAGTCATAATTTTCGATGACTTAAAAGAGTCAACTCAATGATAAATAATCAATCACTCCACACCAGTTATCGAAACTATAAACGAACTGAACTCATTCTGAAAGCGAACGCTCACTCCACTCCAGTTATCCAAACTGAAAACTAACGGTCATGTTTGTATTTATTGTATCATGTATTTAATACGAACAGCTGTAATTATTACACATTATTCGTCTGTTTAAATAAACATAATCTTTTCTTCATAAGAAATACATTGGGATATTAATGGCCTTTGGGGCAAAGCCCGAGGACTTTAATTGCAGAAATTGGTGAAAGGGGGCGTCTACACAAAAAATACTTAATTTTGACACATCGTTTGTAAAAATCCGTCCATTATTAATGGAGGAGTAGTGTTTCGTATAAATCGCCTTCACGTATTATATATAAGGATGCTCGTTAATTTTCAAGATGAGCTCGTTCCCATGGCTCAATCACGTCCTGGTTGAAGTTCGTTTGCCATGCTCACTCACCTTTTGGTTGCAAATTAGCTGTTGTCATAAATTTAAAAAAATAATAGTGCTGCACCCTGTTGGTAAACCTATTAACTTTTTAATGCTATTGAACATCAGAGAATCAAATTGTTTAGTTGAACCAGCTGTTAAGATTCTTTTTCCATTTAAATACGAGTACTCATAAGGTTAACATGGGAAACTCCAGAGCCACTGTGGCGGAGCCCTTTTGACGGATTTGCACCAAACTTCACAAAAACCATCCTTGAATAATGCTTAATAATGCCTGAAAGTTTCATTAAAATCTGTCGATCGGTTTCGGGAGTCCATAAAGGACATAAACCAAACAAACAAACAAACAAACAAACATACAAACAAAAATACATTGGATTTTATATATAGATGTGAAAGTTTGTGTGTTTTGTTTGTTTGTTTGAAGTTCAATCACGCATAAACCACTGGGACTGGACGGATTGGGCTGAAATTTGGCATGATGATAGCTCTCATTCCCGATTAACATATAGGCATATTCTTATCTCAAAAATCCTTTCGGGCTCTGCCCCAGTGGCTCTGTAGTTCCCCATGTTAACCTTATGAGTATTCATATTTAACCCTCCGAGTGTTATTTGTCGATGCGTTGACACATAACACACTTTGTGTAGTGTTTTGTGTCGATGCATCGACTCACAAACACTGTTTACGGCGAAGGCTCTATGACTGACAAAATCGGATTGAACTGGATCGAGTTAGGTGTCGTTTTATTTTGCAGATTCAGAGCTATCTCCGGAGGTCTGTCTCTAAGCGCTTTTCAAAATATTGTAGCAGACAGCTGACGTGCGTATTTGTAAACAGCTTGGTTAACCTCGCACCGATGACTGATGTGTTTTATTACGTTTATCATTGTTTTAGTGTTAAAAATCAAAAGTAGTGATATACGTGGTGCATTATAAGATGATTTAAGTGATTTTGAAGGGCTGGTTGATGATCCTGAAGAAGTAGGTAGTGATATTGATGTAAATTATCAGCCAGATTCCTAGCTATGGTTACGCTATGCATTCTTAGCTAAACGCTATGTACCGAAATCTGTTTTTTACCCATAACTTATTTATTTGCAAATCTACTTCCTTATATTATTATATATTTGTAATCCTCATAAAATTTAGAACAAAGTGGCTACTTTCAAATATTTATAGGCCTATAATTTATACAATTTCATTGAGCGCAAACTTGTTTTTTTTTTGAAAATTTTCCAAAATATTTTTTTTTACCAAAAAAATTTTTTTGAAACAAATGTTCCTTATGTTTTATGTATAATATTGAAGCCCATGATTTTCCAAACAAAATGGTATATAGAACTGTATAATTAACATTGTTTTCAAGCTTCTCAGATCAGTTTTAATAAAACCTTGCAAATGAGCAAAAAATAGGCAGACATTAAGGCCAAAACAAGGGACACTCGGAGGGTTAAAGGGAATTAAAGAATTTAGTCAGCTGTTCCAACTGAAAAAAGTTGGTTTTATGATATACAAAAGCATTAAAAGGTTATAAGATTTACCAACAGGGTGCAGCACTATAGTTTTTTTGCATTTATGTAAACAGCTAATTTGAACTAAGCAGTGACAAAAAAAAGCGTACGCAATGAGAACTTTCAAAGTAGGATTGTTTACAGTTATGGTTTTGTTTTTAATGTCATGAATAATTTGTGATTTTTTGTGAATTCATAATATAATAATTTATTTTTCTTTATTGTTTAGGTGAAGTGGTAGAACATTATGGCTATGGTAGATGTGTAATACTATTATCATACCGTCAATTTAAAGAAGCAAATTTTATCAAACTTTGTCCTCCCCCATTGCAAACGCAAAGCTTGGGTATAACTGCAATAAGCATTTTAAACTTATATGCCAACCCCGTACGAAGGACGGTTACTCTGCTAGTTTGGCTATATTTCAAATGAGGAAATATCTTAGTGTGAATTTTGTATAGGCCTATTTTGTTTATTTGTCACAAAGTTACTAAGCATGGGATGTTTGTGGATACTGGTATCTATGATATATCTGGGGTATTTGTGTGTGTGTGCTCAAGTTCAAAAACTTTTATTTCAGTAAACGATTTAATTAGCATAACACAATAACTTAAATGTGAAATACAAGAATTTTAACTTGGTTCAGAACCCTAACTTGGTTCTTGTATATTTTTTGTCACACAACACATATGAACATTTTAAACCTGAGACACACTAAACTAGAGACACTTAAACGAGACGTTTTGAGTTTGACACTGTCATAACCATAACAATATGCCGCGAACACAAATGTTTCTTGATAGACGACAATAGCAAAAGCGTTTGGCACGGTGGCGCGGTGGTGGGTGGTGTTACTGTCGGGAGAGCTTCGTCATAATGTCATTGTTACTGTCCCTGACACAAAATTGAACAAAACATCAAACTAGATATTTTGTTAAGTATAATCATAGATAAAACAACATACTCCCTTAGTAGATATCTCATCCTTATGGAACAGCTGAAGCCAATTTTATTGTTAGTTCTGTACGGTACACTGTAGAGGTTTTGTTTTGTTTCAATTTGTTTCTTGTTATTTCAGTCATTTAAAACCTTGTTCAACCAAATAATACGATATAATCATCATAAACAAAAACTCGTCCCCTAGTTATATAACCAAACAGTAAAGTTCAAATAATTAAATTAATCTTAAAATAATTTAAACAAAATTTCGTCGACACAAGTGCCCTCTGTACATAAACTAGACACAAAAAACTAGCTTCAAAATTTACATTGGGATGAGAAGTCTACTTGTGTTGGTTAGTCTGTGATATAATATTTAATTTCAATTTGTCATCCGCTACAAAATTTTGGTTTGTTTGGCTAATTTTGTTGCACCTAAAAACTGTTCTTCATTGGTCCATATATCCATATATTCAATGGTTCATACAGTGGAACCTTGATAAGAAGACCCTCGATAACAAGTCGCCCTTAATAACAAGTGTCATTTTCAAATCCCCTTAAAATAATTTTACCCCTAATCACATGTTATTACAAACCTCTATAAGAAGTCAACCTTGATAACAAGTCTTATTTTACAATCCCCATGAGAGTCTTGTTATCAAGGTTCTACTGTATATTCATAAGAGGTATTTTAAATCTACGATTTAATTATTATCAACAATAATTTTGATAAAGTCATTGGCTGGACAGCAGAAGTTTTGCAGCCTTTGAAAAATATATTTTTGTGATACTGCAGCAAAAACAACAGTTTTTTTCAATACAAGCGTTGGGGGATTAAAGTAGCTCTTTTCATCCAAGCACAATGAAGAATCACATCTCAGTTGCTTCGGGTGTTATACTTGAGCTTGTATAAAAAAGAGGGTGATGAAATATTTTTATACCATGTTTTTGCGGCCAAGTATTGTGTTTCATACTGAAATCCAATGGACACAAAACTTGCCAATAATTTAACTATATCAATACTCATTTATAGTAAATGATCAATCTGGGCTTATTTTTATTAACTAAATGTAAATATGTTAATTTTTTTCCTTATAAGCATTTCTGATGTGTTAAAAAGAAAGTCAACTCAATCCAATTTATAGTGTTCTTAACTTTTAATATTATTATAGTAATTCCGTAACTAGCACTGCCTAAGGTAAATTAATGTACTAAAAATGAAAAATAAAAATGTTCGAAATTAGTTAATCTTTTGTAACTTTTTCAATGGATTTTCCAGGATACTTTCTGAAAGAGAAATGTATCACTACAGTTACAGTATCATTAGTTATCAAGGTTGTGAGGATAAATTTCTTAGTATTAGGCTGATCTAAATAAATCCTACTGGCTTAGTTTTTATTTGGCTTGTTTTCTAATAATATATTAAAGCTGTTGTTATTTGTATGAAAAATAAAATAATCATACTAGACTTTGTAAATTAATGACTATACAAGCCTAAAAATATTTCATTCAATGGATTTTGTAAAATTATTTTAAACCCCTAAAGACATAATTTTGCAGTAGTACAGGGAGCGGCAAAATGATCTGACGGTTTTCTTTGCCGCCCTGTTGAGCGAGTGAGTGGTGGAGGGTGGTGGGAATAGGGGCGTTACAAAGCCTACGTTCGAACATTTTTAGTAGCCATGGACCTAGGGACAGCTGAGCACCATGCATTTGTAGTGGAAGTGTTTTTTTCAAAAGTGACAATTCTTGTGTAGCTGTTCAGTAGGCATTTCAATGTGGGTCAAAGAAGAAAAGTCCCAACTCGAAACACCATTTTTCTGTGGGTGGGTAGCTTTAGAGCTACTAGTTCAGCATTAAAACTAAAATCAACAGGCCATCCAAGGTCAGTCCGGACGCCAGAGAACGTCAAGAGAGTGAGGAAGACCGTGTGGTGTGGCTGAAAGTGCGATTTGTCGCTCATAATGACTAATTTGTCACGTGTAAGTAAATCAATCACTTGTTCTGAAAATGAGATGTGCTTTATGTAACCACTGTGCTTCAACTGCTGCACGATTGCCATTTTGTATGAATGAAAGTGCGGGTCGTGCCGTAATACTCATACCGAGCGACCAGACATGTGCAGAGCTGCAGCTTATTTACGTGCAGGCCGCTGAGGACACCTTCTCTCATTCTCTCGATGTTCTCTGGAGTCCGGGCTGACCTTGGACCTGTTGGACTTTTTTCAATGTTAAACTGGTAGCTCTGAAGTTACCCACCCACAGCAAAATAGTGTTTCGAGTTGGGACTTTTCCCCTTGGGCCCACATTGAAACGTCTACGGAACTGCAGCTGAATAGCTACACAGGAATTGTCACTTTTAAAAAACACTTCCACTACAAATGCATGATGCTCAGCTGTCCCTAGGTCCATGGCTACTAAAAATGTTCGCACGTAGGCTTTGTAACGCCCCTTTTCCCACCACCCTCCGCCACTCACTCGCTAAACAGGGCGGCAAAGAAAACCGTCAGATCATTTCGCCGCTCCCTGTATAATATACAAGTAGAGCTGTATCTTACTATTCATAGAAGATTAATTGAGTAGGATTTTTACATTAATAATAAATATCTTTACTTGTATATTGGTGTTGATAGGCCTAATGTTTATATTTGCACTTATGCTCATTCATAAACAAATATATTATTTTAGTATAAGGGCAACTTTGAGTGTTCCGTTTTTAAAATTACTAATTTATTTATGTCGACTAGTAACCTGGCCTCCCTGTGTCCATCTCTTTCTGACTGGGCACAGCTTTGTATAATAATTTATTTTACAATTTTATAACATTGTTAGTTTCATGTTTTAGTGTTTGTGAAAAATATTATATGTCTCTATATAAATAAAATAAGTTTCGTATGTTGTGAGTAAAGCTAGTTAGTAATGCATACCTATTTATCCTTACCAGGTATTACTTGTTTATAGAGGATACTTTTTGTAAGTCAGAGTACAGTATTTTGATGCTGGTTCAAAACAAAGTACATTTAAGGTTATTGTGATAAGAGCTGACAAAAATATTTATGTTGTTGTTGAGTAAATTTTATGAATATTGTTTTTAAAATTTATGTTTTCCACTGTGCAAGTAATATTTATGTTGAAATACTGTTACATTTTAAGCTTTTTAATGTCATTGTAGTTAAATTTCTGTTTTAGTTTATCAGTTTCAGATCTTTGTACAAATTTAAAAAAATGTGGTATTAAATGTATTTAGTATCCATGCATTTACTTAATTTATGCACATTTTATAATACCCAGTAAAACTCTAATAGTGCCACTCAAACAGGGAGGAAAGTGTCGTTTCTGTGGGGAAACTGAGTTTTGAAGGTTAGTATGATAGCTTTACGGTTTTACCAAGCCGTTGATTGTGTATCCAGTTAGAGAATGCGGGTAATAGATTTAGGTCCCTCCATGTCTCCCAAAAGTAGCTAGGGACCATCCTCACTAATGAGGTGTGAATCATACTTTACTCTCACAAATTAATATGCCATGTAAGTAAACTTAATTTATGTTCTTTTGGTAAAGTCTTGAATTCTGTTTATTATTTCATTAACAATTAGTCTAAACACGATTGCCTTAATAGGCAAGATGGCACAATACAAGAATTCAGAATTAGTTCAGTCACTGAAGAAAATCACTGCAAAAATGGAAGGCCTGAGACCAATAACACTAGTCCCAGCCAGTGGTGTAGTCGTAAATTTTCCAGTATGGGAATGCTCTCACAGTATGGGAATGTTGGCACTGCTCTTTTGTGATATGAGATTTTTTAGGCACGAGCCTAGGATTGTTTTCACATTACTTGTGAAAAGACCTAGGCGTTGCGGCGTTATCACTTAGACTAGATGTACAATGCAGTTGTCTGCTTGCAATATTGAGCGGACGGAGCAAGCATATTCATCAAATACTTTTTTAAAGTCAATGCCTTGTCTGTTAGACTTAAATGGGATATCTACTGAAATAAACCCTTAAATATGGTTTGTATTCTAATCTTATCTTATTTAAACAATAATAATTAAGAGGACAGAGGTTTTAAAGTACAAGGTTTATTGGTACATAAGTTAAATGGTTAAAATAGGGTTACAAAAATTGTTCAGGGGTGGGGATTCGTGCTGGCCGAATCAAAAGATTTCCAATTTAAATTTTCAAGTATGGTAAGTTATAAATTAAATAATCTTTTAGAAACAATAAGTTAAACAGGAAGGATTTTGATTTTAATTAAGAGAGGTAAATTGGGTCCAAATGGATGCTTGAAGAGTCTAGTCTGAGTCAATAACTTAATAAAAATGGAATGTTCTCACCAATCTTCTGTAATAATAATTTTCTTCTTAGTATATAGGCTTAAATTCTTCTTTCTTCAGTAAAATTTGGAAATTTTGACAATACTTTCTTTTATAATTTCACAATTAAGTTAATAGATTCTGTGTGTTCTTCTTGGATACTATAACTGCACTGTCAATCTCATTGTTGTACCTCATTTTCAGTTATGGGGTTCACATAAATAAGAACATGGTTGAAATTTACTTGTATTCTTGACCCCAGATGCACTGTATTTTAATTTGGAGGGATTGTTTTGAATAATAATTTTGGATAAGCCAATGAATAAATTTTGATGATCAATTATATATATGTTGAGACAATATGGTTTTAATAATATTAACAATGAACATGAATAACTATTGAAAATATAACAAGGTTGAGTTTGGAATTTAAATAAGGACTATATTAATTATAAACATTGAATTTTGAGTCATTACACTACTTATAGTATCCAAAGTCAGTGCTAAATCTATTTAACGTAAATCGTTAATGAGATGTCTCCTTGCGGGATCCTAAGGCCGGCGCCACACTATCCCTTTTAGCAGGATGCGGTTTTTTCACACTTGTCCTTTTCTACCGCAACAAACGTCGAGTGAAAGCGCGTGTGAGCATCACATTCAGTAAACAATTTGATAGCGAGCGACAACATTATTACCATGTTGTCCAAAGTTAAATTTGTCTGTGCTCTTGAAGCAAGTGTTTTGTTGTGAAAACCTTCTCGTAGGCCTAGGCGTTATTGGGTACATCATACAGTCCACTCTTGCTAATTCAAACACTTGATAAATCGAAACTTTTGATAATTCGAAATGAAGGCTCAGTCCCTAGAGAATCTCTCAATATTTCGAATTTTTACCATGCATTTTGATACACTCGGTATTTCAAAGTCCAAATAGAGGGCAGGTCAATTTGGAACACGCAGTAATTCGAAGTATCGTCGGAAAAACACTCTATAATTCGAAGTAACTCAGTAATTCGAAGTTTCGTCGGAAAAACACTCTATAATTCGAAGTAACTCAGTAATTCGAAGTTTCGTCGGAAAACACTCTATAATTCGAAGTCACGCTGTAATTCGAAGTTTTGTCAAAAAAAACACTCTATAAATCGAAGTCACGCAGTAATTCGAAGTTTAGTCGGCAAAACACTCTATAATTCGAAGTGATCTCCTCCTGTCATAACAGGAAACTATACAGTACAGTACATCCTGTTCTCACTGTAGTTTTGGAAGTTTTGATGTTTGTTTAATTAGAGCAGTAGTCTGGTTGACTGTGTTTGCTTTTAAACCTGCTTTACTTTTGTAGTTTTTTAAGTGTAGTCTTGTGCGTGTGCGGCGTTGTGCATCATGGAACCTAGGAATAAGTACAAATCTCTTTCGATCGAGGAAAAAAAAGAAGTTATCGCTGCAGTAGAAAGTGGTGAAGTGAAGTCCGAAGTTGCCAAAAAGTTTAAAATCCCTCCAAGTACATTGTCTACCATTTTAAAAAATAAGGACAAACTTTGTGGAGTTAATGCGGTTGCGGGGAGGATAAGAACGACAAGAGGTGAATATCCTAGGCTAGAAGAGTGTTTAGTGACTTGGTTGAGAGAGTGCAGAAATCAAAATGTACCTGTAGGAGGTTTGATTTTGAAAGAAAATGTAATAAACAAATGAACTCTCTGTAATTCGAATGGTCTATTTTTCTCCCGATAAATCGAACTCTTGATAATTCAAAACTCTTGATAATTCAAATTTATATGCTTGGCCCACCGATTTTGAATTATCAAGAGTCTACTGTACCTTTTCATTGCAAAAATGATAAGCTATTAATATTTTAATAAAATACACACTTAATTACCCTCCCTGTAACAGCAAACCTTACCTAATTAAAACTAATGTTATTGAAATATAGATTTAATTGAAGATGAAATCAGGCAAATGGAAACTCACTTAATCTGCAGGTTTGCTGCAGTGGGGGTATTTTGACTATTTCTAAATGCAGAGAAGGCATCACAACTTGTAGTACAATAAAAATATGTTTTGACCCAAAAAAAAATTAGCACAACCAAGGAATTTGGTACTAATGTTGGGTGTACCTTCCTTTTGAACATACTAAAAGTCCCCTAAAATTTAAGCTATGCTACAGCCGCCATATTGAAAAATGGCCGCATATTTTTGTATTTTTGGCTATAGTGACTTTATTATTAGAGATACAGGAAAAAGCTAAGTATACAAAATGTAGTCCATCTAAAAATACACATTTTTGTATTTATCAACTTTCTTTAAACCCAACGGTTTTTGAGTTATTTGTTATTAAGTATATTTAGTTTTTCTATTTATCAAAAATAGGCGAAACCCATGGAAATCGACGGTTACTTTCAAAGTTTACGATAATTCATCCTATTTAGTTAAATAGTGTGATAATATAAATTTTTAAAATTTAACTTTATTTCGAGTAAAACAACTCCGTCACAGCTAACCTGCAGACTTAGCCAATTTCAATTTGACTGGATGTTTTATTAAGTGTGTATAAATAAAATTAGGTTTAACAGGTACCTAGGTTTGCTGCTACAGGAAGGGTAGTATAGTGGGTTTTTTTAGTAAAATATCAATAAGTTAGTATAAAATAAACTAATTTTTCAAGTTTGATCACAATAAATCTATAAACAAGCAAACTACAATAGTTTTTTTTTTTTTTTTTTTTTGTCCTAAGGGCGCTAGGCACGAGCCTGGGATTGTTTTTCACATTACTTCAGGCTAGACCTAGGGGTTGCGGCATTTTCACTTAGATAAAATCCATTGGTGACTTGGCGGGGATCGACCCGGGACCTCAGGGACTGAAGTCTCGCGCTCTAACTACTACGCCAGCTCGCTCCCCATAACTACAATAGTTAACTACAATATAGATGATAGATCATCTATATTAACTACTATTGTAGTTAACTACAATAACTACAATAGTTAACTTATTCATAAGAATAGAACGGGAGTTTTAAATTTACAATTTACAAATTTAAATATACAAATCTTGGTTGTGTTTACTGAAAAGATGGCGTTTATCCGTCGCGATTGGAATAATAACCGAAGGGGTTTTTAAAAAGAAGATGGAGCAAGTTAATTAAGTTGTTAATTTGTTTGGTTAAGTTATTAATTCGTACCAAGTACCGGAAATATTGTATGCAGTGAGGTTATCAACCATATTTTGTAAAGTACCAGTACGCAATAGTCATATCTATTCTTTATACTTATTTAATATGCAAGCAGGATTTTTGTGACAATTACTCCTCTGAAACTACTGAACCGATTGACATGTTTTTGGTCTCATTGGAAAGAGCGTAACGTGAAGTTGTGCAGGAAACTTTCTTTTCAGGGAAATAATTAGAGAGTAAGGCCCTGGGGCCCTTTAAAGTTTTGTATTTCTCCATAAGATTAACATGGGAAGTAAAAAACAAGCGTCTACAGCCTGACTGATCACTTATTGCAAACGAAAAAAAAACTGGCCAGGAGCCACTGAAGAAGAAGAAACAAATTTTTCCTACAGTTACCTAACAATGTACATGTTCTCTCACTGATTTGAGAAAGCAAAGTGGCCAATTCGCTCATCAGTGAGACAATGTTAACATTGTTGAAACCCCAATAACAACTAACTTTAATAGGCCTATTTAAAGTTTTATTCGTTTTTCGTAATGTTTTCGTCCCGTCCGTGTGTATGTGTTTGTGTATGTACTTTTTTGTAGAAAACAATGACAAGGATTTCACCATCCAACTGCAACGTTTTGACAATGGCCGATACAAGCCGAAACATGTAAACGACCTTCAATTAAAATGAGCTGTTTGTCGGATTTATAAGGTATGTAACCTATTTATTATATTGAAAAGAAATCATCGAAGAAGAAGAAAAGAATGTACTTGTAAACTGTTTGTTAT